AAGCAGCTAAGGGTGGGCTGGACTGAGGCAAACGCCAGATGGCGTATGTAGGCCTATCAGTGATTTCGTAGGCCTTCGCTCAACTTTGAGTTCCACGAGCGAGCCTTTCGCTTGAAACAACGACGCAAACAGCTCCTAAGAAATTAATAACACCTTTCCTAGCACTCTAACGAAGTCGAAAGGAAGCAAAAAACAAAACTTGGCGAGATAAATAGAATGTTGACCCAAACACAACGAATAATAACGAGTTTTTTTATGCATAAATCACATAAAGGTAAAACGAAATAAAATATTGGGTCGTTTAACAAATAGCAACATAGGTGTGTTTACCCACACGCAATCCCTCACCTCGCAGCCACTACTAAACAATACAAAATAAATAGAAATTAGATTTATTAAAAAAACAGGCTCTCGACTAACCGTCTACAAGACCCGCCCAAAACAACTATCAGTAAGAAAAAAAAAAGAAGAAAAAAAAGCGACTCTGCCTTTTTAATGCGATAATCTCTAAGCAGAGTACGTAATCTGTAAGCACGAACTACATGTTTAAAAATAAGACAGGAATACACGGGGTAAACCTCCTGGAACATGCCCTAACCTTAGGAACTGTTAACCTTTGCCGTAGTACAACGTGTGCGCATGGCGGGATGGCTGCCATGCTGAAGTCCTGACAAAATATTTCCTCTTTGTTTTTTAGGATCGTGAGGTAGAACACAACAGAAGGGTTGACAGCGTCGCTAGCTGCTGAGATCTATGTCCGACTTTGGTTAACGTCCCCAAGGAACGCTACTGGAAACGTTCTTGGATAAAGCATTTTATCCGAGGATATATTATCCTGAATGTCTAGTGGATTTCCAAAAGTTCATTACTATTCTTTTTTCGTCTTTGATGACGCTGCGGGCATATTTCTCGCCACGATCGAACCAACAGGTGAAAAAAGCATACGGTAACGTAATTATATACTAAGCGAGGCTTCAAAACACAGGGCTTCAAGTACTTCTCCCCCTTGCTACATGGACACGCGTTCGTTATCCAATATATCAAGTTTCCCAAGCCCTTAAAAAGAGATATATAAGGTCATAAACTCGAAGCTTTATTTTTCAGCCTGTTTGGTCGACGAACATCCGCACTAAAATGGCTTCAAGGTATGGTCAGTGCGTGTGCGTTCAGCGTCTACACTGGGATATATCCAGGAAGCGTGAGTAAATCATGTACTTTCTTTAGGAACCGAACAATGAACTTGAACTGAAAAGGCGATCACTAAAATGTTCACAAAACTTAAATTAAAAAGGCGGTACGACGTCGCTCCTACGAACGTATAACTGACCGCTAGTCTAGACACTAAAAAAAATATGAGACGACTAAATGATTAGTGAACTGTCGCAACATAGGAACGTAATGAACTGCTCAAACTGCATATGGCTTGAACCAGCTACAAAAAGGACCCGGGGAATCTGGCGTTATTGTGAGATCTTGCAAAGCCGGGGAAGACAGGCCCGCTGAAGCTGTCACAGGGGAGGGAGGTGTTGCTATGGCTTTGGGCCGAAGTCTCTCACTTTCTCTGTTGTCTCTTTCACACACACACACACACACACACACACACACACGCACACACACACACACACACACTCAAAGTCAAAAGTCTCACCGTTGTGGTACGTGGTATGACATGGGTGGTACGGTGTAGTGTGGTGTAGTATGGTATAGTATCTGGTATGGTGTTTACAAGTGGGGTTCGTCTCTCTGTCAAGCCCGGCTCTGTAGGTGGCCTCCCCCCCCCCTCCCTCCCCGAGAGCACAGCCGGGAGCCGCCCCATAATGATAAGGATTGTGAGGCTCTGACACTAATGGCAAACTCACTCCGTCCTCTGAGGAAGCAATAACAAAAGAAAAAAAAAAAAACTTGTTACGAGACAGCGAAATGTTTTTTTCTCATGACACGATCATGGCGACGAAAAAAATTGGCTCGATATAATCATGATAATTCGTAATACTGGCAACAATAATGGAAAATCATGAAAAAAAAATGTAATATGCAGCATCCGAAATAATAACAGCAGCTAATACAATTACAATGATGGAAATAATCATAAAACAAGTTGTTATAATAACTCTAAGAGCAATAAATATAAAAAACAGTGATCATACAATAATAATAACTACATCATCAATAAAATAATAATAATAATGATAATAATAATAATAATAATAATAATAATAATAACAATAATAATAATAATAATAACCATTCTGATGTTAACAATAACGATACTAATAATAATGATAATGATACTGATAAAAGTAATCATAATAATAGTAATCAATAAAAAAAATAATTCCATTATAGTTCTAACAATATTAATATCAACAACAATAATAGCGTACCTAAAAACCAAAGTCATAACTATCTAACATGCAAACATACCAGGTCGTATGGTGACCCGGATATACAGGTAGCATAGCCTTGTTTCAGGTCACACTAAACTAATGTAAGACTAAAAAGGTTCCAAAACATCCTAAAGAACAATGGTTTCGAACGCGTAATTATACAAAAAAAAAAAAGAAAAAAAAAAACTACTAAAAATAGCTAAACGGTAAAATATATATAAACCCTTTAGATTCATCACTATAGACTAATCCTACGGTAGTTTTTTTAATTTTTTAATTATTGTGACTAAGTAAAAAATCGTATACAACTGATATATCGCGCCTAGGGGAAGGCGGGGAAGAGATCTATCGAACAACCAGCGGGACACGTTCCCTGGAAGTGTCCCCAGAACGTGGTTGTTTCTGCATTAAATTTACGTCTAGGAACTTCTATGTGTTGTGTATATACGCATATATATACTCTCTATTCTATACACGACTTAAAATATACACTGGGAAAGTACGGTTTTATATATATATATATTTTGATACTGACTTGATGAGTACGTCCGGTTCATGAAAGGTTGGTAATGGAGGGCGAGGGAGTCGGTCAGAGGGGAGGGAGGGGGAGGAAGGCCCCTCCCGCCCCGCACCTTCCTTCCCTTCACCTCTTTCCTCAGTCACGAGTCCGGGCCTCAGCCTCTCCTTGGAGGACTCAAGCCACCTTCAAAAAGAAAGAGAAATTTCTTCTCCTTTACTTGGCACATATAGCTCGCCTGTATATAAAATAGGACGTTTCTTTTCTTTTAAATTTATATAGAAATGAGGTTTAATTTATTGCATAATCAACAACGTGTATATTGTAAGGTTTTGTTTAAGTCTCCCTACAAAAGGTATATTATGTATATGATGAGACCGAACCATTCAAATGTCACTTTTACACTCCTTTTATCTTTTAGCTGAAGTGAATAGAACATGAACACATCGAATTGATGCTATTTCCTACTCGTTCTTGGTCTGACCTTGCTCAACAGCCACTGCTAGGAAACATAAATGCTACTCTGAATAATATCTGCGTCCCGGAGTATGTACAAGTAGGTCTTTTTGTTGCGGCGGAGGCTGTAACGTGGTCTATGCTGTAATCGTCGAAGGCAGAGGGGTGGGTTACGAAAGCACGCTGACATCGTGTGTGCATGTACTCTGTGGACGACTGGCACGGCGGTCGAGGGTCACGTGACTGATCATCAGTGCGGCTGGTGTGATCCCTGCTGATCAATGAGCGCCAGTTGCTGCTGCTTGTATCTGCTGGTGGGACTGCTGCTCCTGCTGCTGCTGTCCCAGCTGCGACGGTGGCGGCGGCGGCGGCGGGGGCTGCATGTGGGGCTGGTGGTAGTGGTGCTGGCGTCGCTTCTTGTAGCCTCGGTGGGAGAGGCTGATGTGGTTGGTGAGCGTGTTCTTGGTCTTGTACACGCGGTTGCACACGGGGCAGGTGAACACGTGCTGCACGGCGGAGTGGATGTCCGCCAGGTGCGTCCTCAGCTTGTACTTGTCCCGCAGCACCTTGAAGCAGATCGGGCACTGCGCCCCCACCCACGACGCACCACTCACGCCGCTCGCCCCTCGCCCGCCAGCGCCGCCCGAAGAGCCGCCCACGCTCGCCACCACCACCTCTCGGCCGCCGCCACTCGCCCCAGTGGTCGTGAGGGCGCCTCCACCGCCGCCGCCGGCGCCCATGACCACGCTGGAGGCGGCGCTGCTGCAGGCTGGCGGGGGCGGGAGGGGCGGCGGCGGCGGAGACGTAAAGGGCGGGACAAAGCTTGAAGACACCGGCGACGGCGGTGTGGAAGACAAGTGGCCGCCTGCAACGACAAGCAGCATTTAGCTTCTCAAACACTGAGTCGCGGAGCGTTATCATGGTGCGTGGCGGTCCGCTGCCACGCTCCTCTCACGGCCTCAACACACTACAACATCAAGGGGACACCAAAGGCTCTCACACTCAGACTTACTCGCTTCACTCAGCATTATAGAATATAAAAAATAACTTCAAGTAATATTTTTTGTTTGTTTTGTTTTTGTTACATAATTCATCACATTAATCACCAGGTAATCAACATCCACTCTATGTATCTAACTTTGAGAAATCACATTTTTTCCTTCTTAATGAAGCATGTAATCAAGTATCTTAAGTACAAAAAACAGACACGCATCAGGTAACAAAATAGATCTATATATCATTTCCACTGAGGTAATACTAGTACTAATTTGTAGAGACGCGTCGGCCGCCTCGCCGGGGCCGCGGCGCTCCTTCGCAGACCAAGTTACACTCAGACAACTGAAGAGCATAAAGACACGGTGCTGGAGGGGGAGGTGTTCGGCTGCTCTCGGACTTTGTGCTTCTCTTTCGAGGTCCGGACCTCTTAGGTCGCGCCTCTTTGCCTCATAGGGCCTCTGCCCTCCAAGGGCCTCTGGCCTTCCGGGCCTAACCTCTGAGGTCGGCCCTGGGCGTGCGAACGCGAGCTACCACTACTCATCGACCATCTCGTTCACCACGAATTCGGTCTGCGGCGCCGAGTTCTTCTGGGGGTGCGAGTGCGGGCTGCCCGGGGGCATCTCCGCGTCCCCGTGCAGCAGGGACTCGAAGCCTCCCGCTGCCTCCTGCGCGGCGTCTCGCAGATCCTCCATCTCTTCCCCGGGCAGGAGCGGGGGCGCCACCGTCGAGGCCGCCGAAAGAGGTGGAAGGGCGTCCGGGGGCGCCGAGAGATCTCGCACCGGGGTTCCTTCTCGGGGCGCGTGCCTGACGGCGGCCTTCAGTGCAGCGAGCTGCTGTGCGTTGGTAGTCCTGAGGACGGTGTACGAGGGATAGCGGCCGCGGCGTCCCCTGGTGCCCGTGGCGCCCCGGTGGTACACGCTCAGGTGGTTGTGCAAGGAGTTCTTGGTGCGGTACACGTGGTGGCAGATGGGGCAGATGTGCGCCCCGCCCTGCGTGTGCTTGTCCTCTATGTGGCGCCGCAGGCTCGTCCAGCGGCTGAGTGCCTTGTTGCAGAGGGGGCACCGCTGCTGGCCCGCCCCCACACTGCTCCCGCCGCGACACCTGCAAGACAACCTCCATCAATATCCACAGCGCTTCCACCCGCTCCACCTCCACCTCCAGCCTCAGCCTGCACCACAGCGGGGCCACCACCATCACCGCCACTAAAGAAGCACTGGGTCTACTACAGCTAGAGAGAGGGAGAGTTAGGTCGCGCAGTCTGAGGCGGGGAGAGCAGTCTAGGCCTATCCTTAGCCCACAATACTTGCAGCTAATGTCATCATCAGTATTAAAGGATTACCATTAAAGTCGCCGGGAAATCAGCCTGAGCGAACCCCGTCCGGCCGCAAGGTGTCGCTAGGCCTTACACCACGCTGCCTCGAGATCCGATGCCCCGCGAGGCGGAACGGACTCTCAACCCAAAGAGCAACTTGTCTTTCTTTCCGGCAGTCTCCGTCACACCTGTTCGGCTAGACGTTCCATTTTCTTGTCTTTGTTTCGTCTATATACTCCAAAAGAGACTGAATGCGAGAAAAGACTGGGATAACAGAAGTGCAAATATCAAGAAGAAAGAACGAAAGTGAGACAATAGACAAAACCTGACAGTAAGACAAAACATTACAATTCTTCCATATTTATAGAACAATGCACCGTCAGCCCTCCCGCCCGCCCCGCGTCATGTTATAACTCAGGGTTCTCCGGTTCCAAAGAAACAGAACATAAAGTCTGATGGATATGAATAAATAACACAACAGGTCTTCCATTACGGTTTATTGTTCGAAATGCTAATACACAGCCACTAAAAAGCGATGGAGCCCTTCTCGGCCTACAGGGAGGAGGAGACGTAGGCCTATGGGGTCGGGGTTGGGGGCTCCGCGACTACGACAAGCGTTTGGGGCTGCGAAAACACTCCACGTCACATCCCTAATTCCACACGTACGAAAAAAAAGAGACATTTCTTCACAGAATCAAGAGGAGGGATCATTTTTCCCGGGCCTCTTTCGCTTAAAAAATGTTTTTTTTTTATTGTATCTTCGTTTTTTTTTATATCTCGTAACAAAAATAAGTTATCCATTTCTGTATACAAACGTGTTTAGGCAACCACAATTATCAACCTCTCTCTCTCTCTCTTTTTACTTTTCATTTTTTCATAAGGGGGAGGGAGGAGGAAGGGTGGGGGTAAGGGGAGGGGGTATTTCTTATGCCTATCTATCACAGCACTAGTTGTAGATGACACCTAATACAAAAAAAAAATTGAAAAAAATATATATCATTATATTGTCCATCTAAAGCTATCTAGGAAAGCAGTTTTTTTTCTCTCTTAAATCTAAACATAGAATTCTTCTTATAAAAATTGCCACTTCTTTATATCTATAAAAACAAAATGGGCGGGTGGGATACAGGTCATGTTATGAGGAAAGGGGTATGTATGTATGAGGGGACTGTTCTAGAGGTCAAAGGTCATAGACAAATACGGAAAAAGGATGATAAGAGGGGATGATGAAAGTGATAAAGCGAGAAATGATAGACATGTTTTAGGGTCACAAGTGTGCAAATGTGGCAGTTATGGTTGGGTGGGAAACAAGGATTCTATAACTTGTACGTGTCAAAGGTGAAGATGCGCGACTGCTACTGGGTGAGTGTGTGAGTGAGTAAATGAGTAAGTGAGTAAGGGTGTGGGTATGAATGTGAGTAAGAATGTGAGTATGAATGTAAGTGTGCGAGTATGACTATGAGTAAATGTGTGATGCATGAATGCATGAATGTGGGTGAGTGAGTAAGTGTGTGTAGTATGCGTGTGAGTGAGTAAATGAGCATGTATCTAATTGAGTATGAATATCAAAGAATTAATGAAAGTGTGTATGATTGTGAATGTGTATGTATATGCTCACGCGTATATGTGAGTGTGTGAGTATGTCTGACAATGAAAGTACATGAGTCTGTGCAATGACATTCAGAGCAAGAGGCGAGGGGACAGATGGTGCACAGGTGATAGATGGCTTGTGTGACGCCAGATGACACACAAACTACGACAGATGGCTCGCCGCTGAAAAGATTTGGGGAGATACAGACTCTGAACTGTGATTCCAAGAAAGTAAATAAATGGGAGAGGAGGGAAGGAATGAGAAGTGAACAATGGGTTAATGACGAGTGAATGTGAAGTGAGTGGGGGGGGTGAGGGGTGGTAGAGGTGAGTGGAGGGGTAGAGGGTGGCACGTACAAAGTCCACAACAACGAAAGTGTGTAACTTGTGGGTGTGGTCTTGGGCTCTCTCTCTCTCTCTCTCTCTCTCTCTCTCTCTTCTCTCTCTCTCTCTCTCTCTCTCTCTCTCTCTCTCTCTCTCTCTCTCTCTCTCTCTCTCTCTCTCTTCCTCCCCAAACACAACTACGCCACACAAAATGGACTCCTTAATTAAAAATAAATCATCTTTATCCCCCTGTTTTCTTCACGCCTGCCTCGAGGGGGAAGATGGTCCCTCCCAACCCTCCACTCCCCTCCCCTCCCCTCCCCTACAGGTGGCGCAACAGACCCCCCCTTCCCTTCCACCCCCCTCCTTCCAACGTACGGCAATCAACTTAAAGATGATTTGATGCGGAGGGACCGAGTCTGGGTGATCCGCCGACGTCACTGATCACCGCTCGCATGTCCTGCCCGGGATGGATGGAAGCCGAGGGAGAGAGGGAAGGAGGGAGGGAGGGAGAGATGGAAAAGGGAGGGGGGAGGGAGAGAAAGGGAGGAGAGGAGGGGAAAGAGGGAGGAAGAGCAGAGGAAAGAAGGAGGGGGGAAGGGATTTAGACAGAGGGAGAGAAAGGGAGAGGGAGAGGAAAAGGGAAAGGGGGAGGGGAGATGGGAAATAGGGAGCAAGGGAGAGACGGAAGAGAAGAGGGGAGGGAAGGAGAGAAGAGAAGAGGGGGAGAGGATGGAGAGAGAGGAAGAGAGAAAAGGGAGGGAGAGAGGGACACATGGAGGGAGAAAAAGAGAAACGGAGAACGAGAGGGCGACTACCAGATGTCAACAGACCAGATACAGAGAAGGAAGAAAAATAAGACAATAAAAGAAAAGAAGGAGACGAAGAAGAAAGGGCAGGACATTAAAAAAAACGGCAGAGTGCACCGTAGGAGAGCGGGGATCGCAGGGTGAATGAGAGTGAAGGGGCGGGAAGGAGAGTGAGTAGTCAGCGAGAGGGTGAGGAGGAGGGGGAGGTTCAGGGAGGAGGGAGGCAGGATGAGGGAGGAGGGAGCAGGATGAGGGAGGAGGGAGGCGGGAGAGGGAGGTTGAGGGAGGAGGGAGGATGAGGGAGGAGGGAGGCGGGAGAGGGAGAAAAGAAGAAGAAAGAGCGAAACGAGAGTAAGGAGGAAGGAGGAAGAGGGTACAGGGAGAAGGGGGTTTTGAGGGAGGAGGGAGGCGGGAGAAGGAGACGAGAAAAGGGAGAAGAGAAAAAGAAAGAAGAGCGAAACAAGAGAAAGGAGGAAGGTAAAGAGAGGAGGGGAGGTTGAGGGAGGAGGGAGGATGATGAAGGGAGACAGGAAAAGGGAGAAGAGAAGGAAGAGCGAAACGACAGAAAGGAGGAAGGAGGAAGAGGGAAGAGGGTAAGGGAGAAGGGGGAGGTTGAGGGGGAGGGAGGCGAGAGAGGGAGGATGGAGGGTAACGAGAAAGGGAAGATGAGCGAGGAAAACGGGAAAGGGAGAAGGGAAGAAGAAGGAAGAGCGAAACGAAAGAAAGGAGGAAGAAGAAAGAGCAAAACGAGATAAAGGAAGAAGAAGGAAGAGGGTAAAAGGAGAAGATAGGAGAACGAACGAGGAGGGAGAGAGATAAGAGCATGAAAAGGGGGAGGCGGCCGCTGCCTGGCTCGGCTGCAACAAGCGTCGGATATTGGGCCGGATCCGCCAGCCGGGTCATCCTCGCCGCCGCCATACCCGCGCTCGGAGCTGCCTTGATGTGGGTACGAGTGACGGACGGCGAGAGAGGCGGCCGCGGCGCAGCGATGGGCGTGCGTGGACCGGAACTCTGCTCACCGTTGCTGCCCCTAGTGTGCCCCTCCTCCCTCTCCCCGCCCTTCCCTCTCCCTGCCCTCCCGCGTCCCAGCTCCCACTCCCTGCCCTCCCGCGTCCCGAGCTCCCACTCCCTGCCCCTCCCGCGTCCCGAGCTCCCACTCCCTGCCCTCCCGCGTCCCGAGCTCCCTTCCTGCCCCTCCTTCCCCGCACCCCCCCCCCCCCAATCGCGAGTTCACTCCCCCTCCTCCGCCGCTCCACTTGGCTCTGTCCTGCCCCAGCCCTTCATTTTTGACGACTCATGAGAGGGGGGAGGGGGAGGGCCGGGGCAGAGCGGGGGAGAGAAGGTTAGGATAGGTAGCGAAGGGAGGAGGGAGACAGACAGAAAGAAAAAGGCGGGAGGAGAGACGACAGGAGGGGGAAGGGAGGGGGATGCAGGACCTGGAACAGGGAGACAGGGGCAGGGGAGGGCAGGGGGAGGGAGGGGGACTCCAGGGGCAGCACAAGGTCACCAGGTCCCAGACACGAGCGGGACCCGGACGTGGCTGCGGCCGGGGTGTGGGAGGAGGAGGGAGGAGGGCGGAGGGAGGGGGGGAGGACCTCCTGCTGCGCAACCCGGATCACGCTCTACAACCCGGTTATTGTGGCGTTGCTTACTACCTTGCACTTCCATCCTGCTACCCCATCCATCCATCCACCGGTCCCTTATTCACCCTCGCCCTCTCTCTTTCTCTTCCTCCCTCCTTCCCCCATCTACCAAACCTCACGTCCTTTCACACTTAACCAAAAAAATGAGAGAGAGAGATAAAAAGGAGAAAAAACAAAAAGGGAACACCCACAAGTCACACCATTCACAAATAACATGAAAGAGGATTGTGTATGTGTGTGTCTTACAATAGAGAGAATAACCGTACAGTATCTACGTGAATACAACAATTTTGCAGTGTGAACTCTCCGGCGACACTAGATACGCTCGTAAAGGGACTGGTGTTCTCAACCTATCACGCATATTATCACAATCGGTTACATTTCAGTTCCTATCACATGCAATTCCTTTTTTAAACCTAGTTAACACATCGGGTGGCAGCATCACAAGTGGGTTTTTTTGTGTGTGTGTTTGTTTAATCATTATATCCTAATCAAGACTGGTAAGTACCATAGAAAGTTTTTTTTTCAGACATCCCTAAAGATACAAGTTGGCATCACATGTTTGGTTACGCTTACACCTAATATAACGAAATCACAATTTTGTGTCTTTACACCCTTTGTCTTAGTGATAACAACAGCAATTGCTTTTCAAAAATTCGATGGTAAAGACATCATTGTCCATATATGCCTCTAAATGACTAATTGGCATCACATCATTTTGCTTACACATTTTAAAAAATAAATTAAAATACAGTGAAGATGGAATCGCAGACACATTCCGTTTCAGTAACCTAATAGTAACATGGCATCACATTGTTTCCTTTAGTACCTAATTACACATAGATGGCATCACAACAAACATTTCAGTTATAATTTTAGTTATAAAATGGCATCACGGTATTCTTATTCAATAACCTTAATATGGCATCACATTATCTCTACTTATGCACCTAATGGCAACACACAGCTCTTTGTTTTTAATTCCCTAATTGT